TATGTGTGTGTGTGTGTGTGTGTGTGTGTGTGTAACATCTAACTTACTTGTTTTGCTACTTGTTTCGGCGTTTGATTTGGTATTACAGGTGCTACAGGTTTTCCCTGTGCCGCGGCCTCTGTAGTTGGAGGGACATGTGCAGTGGGTATAACCTATTATAATAAAAAATATCAAATCACTGTTTATATATATATAAACTTAAAAAGTAATAATACATTAAATTATATAAAAAAGAGCCATATGAAAGATTCTTAGCTTATATTTATTTTAGTATGTTGATTATATATAACTTACCACTTCTGCCTTCAAGCTGCCAGCTTGTTTGTCAAGTTGCCTTTGCTGTTGCTCTAAACTCGCTTTAGCTTGCAACAGTTCTAGCTCAATCTTCTTTTTTTGCAATTCTAACAATTCTCGTTGCTTTTTCAGCAACTGCTCTCGCATAGCTGCTTCTGTTGTTGTTACTGGTTCCCCTGATGGCAATTTAACAGGCGGGACAATTGATGTCGTAGTTTGTTGAGGCTGAAAATATATAGTATGTTTAGTATAATATAATATGTAGTCGTAATATAATAATGAAGATGTGGTTTTATCTATTATACATCTATTAAATTTACCATTGTGGAAAAAAATCGTGGATTAACGTGTATGGAGCCTGAAGAGATATTAGTAGGAGGGGCAGTGATTGGCCATGCAGGATCGATACTTTGTACCCGCACATCTAATGAAAATAATTTTTTCGGTGGAAATACATCGTTCCACGTTTGCCGCAACTTCCACATGCTGGCTCTTGTGTTCTCATCGACCTATTTACAAAAAATAAAGATGCCGACATTATTTTATAATAGAAAAGACTGCAATAATTTGCATGGAACCGATCTTTTTTTAAATTCAAAAATATTTTTAATTTTCTATTTTGGCATGTAAATTTCATAAAATTCTAATATAGGTATATTTGTCTTTCTGTAATATAAATTTGTGTAGTAAAACTCAAAACAAGATATTAATATCTGAATGTTACTTCTACAAGGAAAAATTAATTTATCAAACTTCTACATGATATCTTTTTCTGCAGCCTTTCAGACGAAATGTGAGGTCAGTGATATTATATTGATCAAACAATTATCTTATGTCATTGTGAAATATAAAGCATTAGACGACTATACACGTCCTATAAAATATTCCTGATACTAGAAACTCTGTTGAGTTTAGTTTAGTTTCGCTTTATCATGCACGCAGAGAAAATTCAAGGGTTACTCGCGGTCAACGACAATTGCAATTTATCATAAAAAAAGGAAAAAAAAATATTTTTTTGCACATAATTATACAATATACATATACTCTATATCAATTATCTTATAAGAACTATATAAAAAAATATTTACCTTCTCAAACACACCGCAGAACGTGTTTACTATATTTTGCGTAAAGAGATTCAGATAGTCTCCATTTACATTCTTGACAATCGAATCGATGAGATAGAGTACTGGTAACTTGATGTCACTTCTCACCTAATATAAAACAATAATATATGTATGCTAATTCATTAATTATATATAAATGTCTTCATATATATAAATATCTTAATAGATATTCCCGAATTATTGTATTTTTCTTCAGCAACATATTCTTTTTCTAATTCAAAGTCAATCTTTCCTTGGAACAGCTTGATAGGAGACCTAATTATAGAAAATATTTAATACAGAAAAGCAAAGCTTTTTGCTGCATTAAATTTCAAAGGATAATGTTACAAAGGTAATACATAGTAAACTCTTATTCGCTTAATTATCAATACATTTAGTACAACAAATAAAAATAATGCAATAAAAAATAGGCACCTATCAAATTTCCATTAGGAAACTGTCCATTACAAATTTATCAAAGAACAGCTAAATAAAAATCCAGTAATATCAGGATATCTTATGTCTTATATAAAAACGTATATGTGTAGTATATCAAGGAGAATCCATTATTACATACTACTTTATAAATCACACAATCTATAAGTTAGATAATAACTTATTATCTAATTGAAATATTTTTCTATAAAATAGTAATTAAAAGTAAATTTTGGTATTTTGAAGATTTTAGGCACAACTTGATTTAAAAATTCTCTGCAATATCCAAATGTTACAGTGTAATGTAAGGCACATGTACTGGAAATCCATCACTGGCAATATTACTCAGGCATTATATAATCATGACACTGAGTATTTAGCAATATGTAAATGCATTTTATTAAAGTATATAAAATATGTACAATCAAAACTAATCATATTTTACATCTCAATGAATGGAAGATAAAATGTATGTGTGTAGAATGTATATTTCCATATTAACATAATTGCAATATCAAAAAGTAAATTATCTAAAACAGTACTTTATTTCTCTCTATTATTTTATTAATTAATAACAGTAGATAATATCATTATTATAAATATTGATATATCATTTAAATATATATATATATATATACATACGCCATATATTCAAATATATATATTTAAATATATATATACAATAGCGCTGTTCCTAGTTTTTGCTACTCTTTTATTATTATAAAAGACACATATACACACACATATGCCTGCTGATATTGTGATTGTTAACTATAATTAATATATAATTGCATACAAGATTAGAATATTCAAACACTACTAACAGCAGGTACACATATTAATAATATATCTTTTGCAAAAAATGTTTGCGCATTTATAAATATTTTTATAGATAGTTCGCAGAATGTGTAATGCAAAGGGAAATAGTAACACGGACAAAATTACAAAATTGTCGTGCATGCCATGCTACATGTGATAGAAATATAATATTTTCATTGTATCTAAAGAGTATAAAAAGAGAAAGGCTTTACAATTATAAACAAAATGTAATAATATTGAGAAGAAAGGTCATCAATTTTATATGCAAATTAATGTTCTATAAAAAAATGTATTTATGTATACGTATATATATATTATCCAATTTTGAATAAAATATATTTTTAGATGTAACTATAAAAGATAAGTAACCTTTTGTAGATGAGTCTCAACAGCTTGCACTATCGCTGATGCATGTTCAATGTTATCTTCGGCCAACATGGTGAGCATGTTGATAAGCGGCTTACTGTTGATTGTAAGATCGGACAGGGACGAGATGTACTCATCCGCAACTTCTTTGGACTTTGTCGATGCCATTTTGATAGGCTGCTAATGAACGAGTAAGATCTTGATCAAGCCAAGAGTAGGCATTCAAACTATAACATAAAATAGAAACGCATACGTGTATTATACACAATACAAAGTTGTTCATATTTTTAATTGAAAAAAAATGATAAAAGATAGTGAACAAATTCATCTATCAGTAAAATATAAATAAGATAAAGATTCTTTCTAAAGACAATACATAATTCATTTTTATCAAAAAATTAGCTTTGTTCCATCGGATATCAAATGAAACGAAATCTGACACATTCTCTAAACTTATAAAGTTAACTATATATTGTATTTCTATGATTAATATATATTACTGATAGTAAAATAAGCTGAACACAAAATAAAATCATCCAACAATTCTTGAGTCTCGATAATTTTTCATATTTTTATATTCTGTACATATTACTCAATATTACATCATTCATTCAATACTTAATTATAAACTTATTTTAAAACACGTTCTCTAACAAGCTCTTGTTAAATTTGCATTTCACCGAATTTCAACACGATGGCGTTACGTTAATGTAGCGATATGCACCTCGCCTGACGTTACGAATGCACCCATTCAATAACGAATTATATATAATCAAAATCACACACGCACACAGACACATACATTTTAACATATCATAATAAACGGAATGTGTCCTACATTCATTCGCATGCTTACTTTGCGATACTATACACACGAGGTCAAAAATGTCTCAATACATTTTCGGTGCATGTAGGACAATAAATGGGAAATGCATGTAACACGTGTAACACGTTAGTTAGTCGAATGTGGACCTAAGCGTTATCTGTCCAGATATCGCAGTCGCAAACAACATCCAAATTCCCAAAGGATGACTCACAAAAAAAAAAAAAGAAACTAACGGGAAATGAAAATATTTTCGAGAAACGAAAAGCGTGCTATGATATACATTATACTAAACATGGTAAGAGACTTTACGCTCGTCGCACCCGAAAAAAAGCGCACTTTCGCCTTGTGGAGACGAAATCTAGGACGAAAGTGACGAGACTCCGATACGTGTAGTACCTCTTCGATCCTCTCAGAAGATATACCAGAGCTCCGATCGTCTTGAAGTCAGGAAAGATCTCGCTCTCGACGAAAGAAAGGAAAATTAGCGTACACACGATCTATTTATGTAATATTATCTGCAGCTCTAGACGAAGGTCGGCGAGCTCACATCCATACGCAGAGACACTTATCGATTTCGCTCGCAGTCTCCCTCTCTCACTCACTCTCTCTTGTCGCTCTCGCTCTCTCCCGCGATGCAAAAGAACTGCCGAAGAAATGAGGAATTTTCGGAGCACGTTTCGAATTACGCGTTGCGTAATTTACGCCTGATTAACGAGCACCACGACACTCGTGCAAGATGTCCAGTGCGCATCTGGAGCCGTCGTTCACTGTCGATGCCGCTCCTCCTCTCCCACCCGTTTCACGCGAAATCGCCGTCCGATTTTCGCACGCGCGATTTTACGCACATCGACACCCGCCCGATCCACGACGATAATTACCTTTTTCAGCGCATTGTGTAACACAGGCACGGCACGATGAAACACGCACCGTATTTCGACGTATCGTCGAAAAATCACGCGCGTACACTATTACTATACTGCTTACGCGAACGAAATCTCCATGCGTAAAATGGCTACCGTACATAGCTACATACCTTTGTTGTATTCGTTAAGAGAAAATCACAACGATATAACGCTGCCTCCGATTGGATACCGTTACCGCGTGGTCGTTGCCTCTCGTAGAACGTCCAATCACCGATCACGATAGAAACATTATGATGTCGCTGCGTTCGCTTAAGGAACGGACGATACTAACTGCACTATTCACACCACTGTTCACTACGAGATGCGTCTAAAGATTAAAGGCTGAGCGACAATGCAAGAAATAAGGCTGGTAGTAGCCCTGCACATAGAAACGGCAACTGTCATTATTACAATCCGGTCTGGTGGATAATCAACCTGCCGTTTTTTGAAATTTATACTTGTGGTATATGAAATAAGTATATGTGTGCAACTGGCGATGTTGGTCACTGTCGAACAATCGGCGTCGAAAAACAAAGGTATTCCTTTTGCGTTTTATCAAAATGACTTTATGTGATAAAGGAAAATTGTATGCTTTCCTTTTGTAAATACTCGCCACTATATACACAATTAGTCAATTACAATTATGTGCAGATGTTATAACATAAAGAATGTTAGAAATGATATTTTTAATGCCATTTAAATACATTAAATGAATATTTCTCTATGCACTTGATTCTTTGAAAAATGCAATTGTATATTAAATTCGGTTATAAGGGATTTAAGATATTGGAAAGATGTAATGTGCCAATTGAATCAAATATAGTAAATTTTTATGAAATTTTTACGAATTATGTAATTTGTCGCAAAATAACAAAAGAAATATTTTTATATTAAAACTCAGTTTAACATATGAACGAACAAGGAAAAGTACGAATTTTAATAAATAATAACTTTCTACGAATCCGTTAACTAAACTCTATTCTAGGTAGAAAATATTTTTCTCAGGCCCCATAAATTATTCGGACAGAGACGATTATAAACCGAGATGTATATTCTTTTTTTTTTTTTAAGTTACATATATAAAGTCGAATACTTTTCTATTGAAATCGTCGGAAAACGCATCAAGGATATACTTCTGGAATCAATCCCCTATAATTACCTTTCTGTTGTAACGGCACATATAATAAAAAAGAAAATCCTTGCGTCGAAATACCATGCCCGAATTTTCTAAGGGCGGCTTTATATCCTTTTGTGCATTTCAGGAATACGTGTTTCGCTTTCACTTCAAAATCTTGACGAATGACTTATACGGAAAATATTGAAAATTTTCATCCGTGTTTATAATACTTTTGTAATATAAAAAAATAGCATTTCACTGTTATAGCAAAATATCGTATAACTGTTATTGCACATTTGATGTAAAAACAATCAAACTTTGTTATAATAAGCAATAATTTAATATTCCAGTAAGATTTTTTTGTTGATAAATTTTGCTAAATTTGTTTTTATAGAAATATGTTAATATGCCAATTTACTTACTTGGAGAGGAGAAACGTATATATATAATTGACAAAATAAAGTATATAATTGTATTGGAAAGAATCATTATCAATTATATAGAGAATTCAATTCAAGATCTATTTTTATCAACGATTCAGGTAATTATGATTTCTGCATTACTCGAGATCGGTAAAATCTATTTCTACCTTAATTATGTAGATGTCGCACACGAATATCTTGGCCGAGAAAACGCCAACGTGACACATCTGTTCTTACCGTCGATTTGACATGATTTGATAATTGAAGAAGTGCTGGACATTGTTGACAGATTCCTGAAAATTCAAACGGCAACCCTATATGCGACACCGAAAGCGCATTCGCCGTCTTTCAGAGACCGCAGTGGTGTTCACGAGTCACATAACTTGACGAACAATAAATTACCGTTTGAGAATCGGAAAATATAAATACGTGCGAGTGAGGTTAGGTTTCTCTAGGCTGTCACGATGAGCCTACGCGACCGTCAGATAAACGCCCTGAAGCAGATGTTGAATCTGAATCGGCCCGAGTCGCGGCTAGAGGATGCAGTGCCGACGTGGAAGCTTCTCATCTACGATCGCCTTGGCCAGGACATTATATCGCCGCTCATCTCCGTCAAAGAGCTGCGCGAGCTCGGTATCACGTTGCATATGCAACTGCACTCGGATCGCGATTCCATCCCCGAGGTGCCGGCCATCTACTTTTGCGCGCCCACGGACGAGAATCTCGGTAGGATCGGCCAGGACTTGCAGAACGGTCTGTACGATATCTATCACTTGAATTTTATCTCGCCGATTTCTCGGCAGAAGATGGAAGACCTGGCGGCCGCGGCACTGCTTGGCGGCGTCGTCGCCAGCATCCACAAAGTGTTCGATCAGTACTTGAACTTTATCACTTTGGAGGACGATCTGTTTATCTTGCGTCATCAGAACAGCGACATGATATCTTATCACGCCATCAATCGCGGTGATGTCAAGGATAGCGAGATGGAGTCTGTAATGGACATTATTGTAGACTGTCTGTTTTCAGTGTTTGTCACTTTAGGTACTGTGCCCATTATAAGGTGTCCCAGAGGCAACGCCGCCGAGATGGTCGCCAAAATGATCGACAAGAAGCTGCGGGAGAATGTGTGGGACACAAGGAATAATCTGTTCGAGGGCGAGGCCTGCGCGACCGGACATTATAGTTTCCAGAGGCCTCTGCTCATCGTACTGGACCGTAACGTTGACATGGCCACACCACTGCATCATACATGGACGTACCAGGCACTGGCACACGATGTTCTGGAGATGGCACTCAATAGGCTGGTTGTAGAAGAAAATATAGGACGATCTCCCGCTGGTGGGACACGCTCCAAGACGCGCGCCTACGAGCTGGACAACAGAGATCGTTTCTGGTGCCAGCATAAGGGCAGCCCTTTCCCCAGAGTAGCGGAGGCTATACAGGAGGAACTGGAGCAGTATCGCACCTTCGAAGAGGACGTGAAGAAACTTAAATCTCATATGGTTGATAACGACAGTGAAATGGCACTGTCTATGGTGTCTAATAATACTGCACGTTTGACAAGTGCAGTGAATTCGTTGCCGCAGCTTTTAGAAATGAAACGTTTGATAGATATGCACACGTCGGTAGCCACAGGTATTCTAAACGCCATCAAGTCGAGACGACTCGATACTTTCTTTGAACTGGAGGAGAAAATCATGGGCAAGCAAACGCTCGACAGGAGCGTATTAGAGACCATCGGCGATCCAGATTGCGGTACTCCCGAGGATAAATTGCGTCTTGCTATTATCTATTATATTTGCACGAATATGTCTGACGCAGATTATAGTAAATTGGAAGCGGCTCTGACCACGACCGGCTGCGATCTCAATCCGCTGATCTACATCAAACGATTACGTAGTTACACCAGGATAGCTGAGATTCAGAGCAGCTACGAAGGCGGCGGCACCAAGACCGTCAGTATGTTCTCCAAGCTGATGAATCAGGGCTCGTCATTCGTCATGGAGGGCGTAAAGAATCTGGTGGTGAAGAAGCACAATCTGCCTGTCACCAAGATAGTGGATGAACTAATGGAGTCCAAGCAGTCCTCGCGGACTGAGGATTATCTCTATCTCGATCCAAAGCAGCTCAAACATACCGAGCAGATGCCGAAGAATCGGCCGACGTTTCAGGATGTGATAGTTTTTGTGGTGGGTGGCGGCAACTATATAGAGTACCAGAACCTGGTGGATTATGTGAAACAACGAAGCGGCGCTGGGGTAAATAAACGGGTGATCTACGGTTCCACGACTTTTATCAATGCCAAGCACTTGCTCAAACAACTCTCTCTGCTCGGCCAGGAAGTCCATTCGTAAATCGATTTGATATACATTTGTCATCCGCGGCGATTATGTATCCTCTCTCCCCCTTCTTATTTTTCTCTTTCTCTCTTCTCTCTCCCTCTCTCTTTCATCAGCGCGTAAGCTAATAGTCACGCTTTTTTTTTAAATAAGATTGTTGATAGTTCTTGTATAAAGTACGTACGATATAAATAAAATCGGATTCGTTATTTATACAACGCTTTTCCTGCCTTCGACTTGTCTTTTTGACGTTACGTATATAGCGGCCAAATATTCCTTATCGCATAAAGCTCTTGCATCAATATATATGCGCGACTACATTCACAATTTGTTTGATCGATTAATCGTATACAGCAGAAAGGTGAACATATTTCTCTCTTTCGATATATACTTTTTAAGAAAATACGCCTTGATTGTGATATATATTCATTAAAAATCGAGTTATTAAAAGAATTCTTTGAGATATTAAAAAAAAAAGAAATGACCACGGCTCAAAATTATATCGCCGCTCATCTCCGTCAAAGAGCTGCGCGAGCTCGGTATCACGTTGCATATGCAACTGCACTCGGATCGCGATTCCATCCCCGAGGTGCCGGCCATCTACTTTTGCGCGCCCACGGACGAGAATCTCGGTAGGATCGGCCAGGACTTGCAGAACGGTCTGTACGATATCTATCACTTGAATTTTATCTCGCCGATTTCTCGGCAGAAGATGGAAGACCTGGCGGCCGCGGCACTGCTTGGCGGCGTCGTCGCCAGCATCCACAAAGTGTTCGATCAGTACTTGAACTTTATCACTTTGGAGGACGATCTGTTTATCTTGCGTCATCAGAACAGCGACATGATATCTTATCACGCCATCAATCGCGGTGATGTCAAGGATAGCGAGATGGAGTCTGTAATGGACATTATTGTAGACTGTCTGTTTTCAGTGTTTGTCACTTTAGGTACTGTGCCCATTATAAGGTGTCCCAAAGGCAACGCCGCCGAGATGGTCGCCAAAATGATCGACAAGAAGCTGCGGGAGAATGTGTGGGACACAAGGAATAATCTGTTCGAGGGCGAGGCCTGCGCGACCGGACATTATAGTTTCCAGAGGCCTCTGCTCATCGTACTGGACCGTAACGTTGACATGGCCACACCACTGCATCATACATGGACGTACCAGGCACTGGCACACGATGTTCTGGAGATGGCACTCAATAGGCTGGTTGTAGAAGAAAATATAGGACGATCTCCCGCTGGTGGGACACGCTCCAAGACGCGCGCCTACGAGCTGGACAACAGAGATCGTTTCTGGTGCCAGCATAAGGGCAGCCCTTTCCCCAGAGTAGCGGAGGCTATACAGGAGGAACTGGAGCAGTATCGCACCTTCGAAGAGGACGTGAAGAAACTTAAATCTCATATGGTTGATAACGACAGTGAAATGGCACTGTCTATGGTGTCTAATAATACTGCACGTTTGACAAGTGCAGTGAATTCGTTGCCGCAGCTTTTAGAAATGAAACGTTTGATAGATATGCACACGTCGGTAGCCACAGGTATTCTAAACGCCATCAAGTCGAGACGACTCGATACTTTCTTTGAACTGGAGGAGAAAATCATGGGCAAGCAAACGCTCGACAGGAGCGTATTAGAGACCATCGGCGATCCAGATTGCGGTACTCCCGAGGATAAATTGCGTCTTGCTATTATCTATTATATTTGCACGAATATGTCTGACGCAGATTATAGTAAATTGGAAGCGGCTCTGACCACGACCGGCTGCGATCTCAATCCGCTGATCTACATCAAACGATTACGTAGCTACACCAGGATAGCTGAGATTCAGAGCAGCTACGAAGGCGGCGGCACCAAGACCGTCAGTATGTTCTCCAAGCTGATGAATCAGGGCTCGTCATTCGTCATGGAGGGCGTAAAGAATCTGGTGGTGAAGAAGCACAATCTGCCTGTCACCAAGATAGTGGATGAACTAATGGAGTCCAAGCAGTCCTCGCGGACTGAGGATTATCTCTATCTCGATCCAAAGCAGCTCAAACATACCGAGCAGATGCCGAAGAATCGGCCGACGTTTCAGGATGTGATAGTTTTTGTGGTGGGTGGCGGCAACTATATAGAGTACCAGAACCTGGTGGATTATGTGAAACAACGAAGCGGCGCTGGGGTAAATAAACGGGTGATCTACGGTTCCACGACTTTTATCAATGCCAAGCACTTGCTCAAACAACTCTCTCTGCTCGGCCAGGAAGTCCATTCGTAAATCGATTTGATATACATTTGTCATCCGCGGCGATTATGTATCCTCTCTCCCCCTTCTTATTTTTCTCTTTCTCTCTTCTCTCTCCCTCTCTCTTTCATCAGCGCGTAAGCTAATAGTCACGCTTTTTTTTTAAATAAGATTGTTGATAGTTCTTGTATAAAGTACGTACGATATAAATAAAATCGGATTCGTTATTTATACAACGCTTTTCCTGCCTTCGACTTGTCTTTTTGACGTTACGTATATAGCGGCCAAATATTCCTTATCGCATAAAGCTCTTGCATCAATATATATGCGCGACTACATTCACAATTTGTTTGATCGATTAATCGTATACAGCAGAAAGGTGAACATATTTCTCTCTTTCGATATATACTTTTTAAGAAAATACGCCTTGATTGTGATATATATTCATTAAAAATCGAGTTATTAAAAGAATTCTTTGAGATATTAAAAAAAAAAGAAATGACCACGGCTCAAAATGGATCGAAAGATCTCGTTCAAAGAGCTGTCATTACGACGGATCCGCAGAAAGCAGTTTCGGAGTACTTTGTATCCAAGCAGGAGGAACGTCAATGTATCAAGTAATGTATTATAATCAAAAGATAAACATGTAATAAACTACTCTTAATTATTTTTAATATATCAAAGGATAATGTGTTAATAAAAGGTTAATAAAAAATTATAGAATATGTAAGAAATGTAAAAATAAAGAGGTATAAAATAGACAATGTATCGTAATAATCAATTAGAATATGAGATATAATAGAATTCTATAAACTCTCTTTGAGACGTTATTTTTATTACTAAAAAAATAATTTTATAAAAAAGAAATTTTAATAAATATAATTTAATCAACTATTGTCATTTATGCTAGATTTATTAGATTTATTAAAATTATAAGTTATATATATTTATTATCTAAATATATCAGAAAATATCCGGAATGGGACAAAGCAAGGGTTTGTCCAGCAACCGAAGTTATCAAAACTCGTCGAGAATTGGCTCAGGTCGAAGAGATACTGAAAGAAAAACAAGCGGAACGAGAGATAAAACGTAAGCATATGGACGAGCAATGGGAAGAAGCGAGAAAACAGCAATTGCTGTTGCGGGATTCTTTTATAAAGTTTAATACACTTGTGAAGGAAAACGTTGAGAAACGCGAGCGAGCGGAGCAAAAGATCAAGGAGGAACATGAGCGCCAAGAGAAATGTAGACAAGAAGTACGGTAAAAAGGACTTGATAAAAGAGAGAAATATTATATATATTATTATATATGTCAAGATTCTTAAGACTTTATAATTTTTAATCAAGTAGCTATAAAAAAATAAAAAAAGGAAAAAAACAAAGAATCTATGTTGATTGTATAATTAATATCTTTTTTATTATAGATCGAAGAATTAAAGCAGAAACTGCGTTATATGGAAGGCGTACGTGATAAAATGCAACAATATGTAGGGGAATATAAGAAATATCAAAATTATTTGGATAGAGTAGTAAACGAGACGGGGGAGTTTCAATCGATCAATGAAATTTTTAATCGTTACGAAACTTTAATCGAGGCCAGACAAGCGTTATCTGATCATCAGGACAGAAACCTCCAATTGCTAGAACAGAAAGGAACAGAAATAGTATATCTGCTTGCCTATTTTTTGCCTATTATCTTAAATCGCCGTAGTTTTACAAAAAATTATACTATTTACTTTTTAATTATTAGTTAGTTGTCTTTGTATCTGTAATATTTTTAATCGATGAGTTTCTTCCAAATGATAATAAGCTTAATATTACTTTTTTATATACTTCCTAGTTTTTCATATATTTTAAATAGCCTTAATAAAAAGAAGATTAAAGAGAGACAGAGAAAGAGAGAGAGAGAGAGAGTCGAACTATATAATGATAATTTTTCTTTACCTACAGCATCACTTGACTGAAGTCAAATCGCAAGTATTAATGGGATTGAATAATAAAGTAGCACAATTGCAAGCGAGATATGATCTGGCGAAAGTGCAAGCATTGAAATGGGAAACAATTGTTTCGAAAATAAAGGAGACCGCCGCCGCGAAGAATTTGGAGCTGACGCAAGTGAAGGCGTGTTGCTGGAATATGTATCAGCAGATTTGTAAGAGGAAAGATATACCTGTCAAGGTAAGCAGCGAGGACGTCGAGCAACAGCTGGTTCACATCAAGCGAACCATTTTTGAATTAAAACGAATTATCAAGACCGTCAAGAAGAAGGTGCGAGAAGAGAAAGGTTTGCCGCATCGCGAATAAAAGCATACATATATTACCGCGACTTATACGGTGTCATAAACTTGGCAGGTAAATGATAACAAAGCGGCAGTAAATGAAACAATTATTGCTCTCTCTAACAAAAAAGATATAAATTGTATTATCTTTAGAAAAAGCTGTTATCGAAAAAAGAATCTCAAATCTATCTGGGATGAAATAAAATAAATCTTTTTTTAGCGGACATTAAATTGACATACAATTACTGTTCTCTTCTTCGATTTCGTCGTTGTTTTTGCAACGTTCTGATTAGCTTATGAGCCTTGCGTGAACGTCGTTATAACATTCAGGAAAGGTCAGATCGCGAATCCGCGAAGAAAATACATTGTCGTTAATTTCCTTTATTGATAACGTCTTTGCATAATCTTCCTAGCCGCCGGTAAGTGACAGCTGGATACGTTATGAAGCAGCTCCGAGTAATCATCCATGAGCCTTCGTCGCAGTTTCTGCATGGCTTCGGCACGTGTCAGCGGTACCTCAAGGCCCTCTGAGACGAACTGCATCTGCTCTTGCTCCACGCAGCTGTATCCGAACATTGTGTTAAAAGGAAATTGATACAGCCTCTGTGCATCCTCGACATGCATTTAGCATTAAATGTGGTTGATTAATAAAATCTATTTTTATTTTCGACTTTTTTTTACTGATACGATATTTATGTAAGCACCGTATCTATTATACAAATATTTGCCTTTATCATTTTGGTGAAAATTGGAATTTTAAGTATCTATAAAACAGAAATTAGATTTTGCCACATTTAGAGCTAAATGCAAATTTCCGAAAATATCCGCCAATGGTTTGGAAGGACTCGGGTCAAGGATGAAGGATCGCTACGAAGGATCGATAAGAGGGAAGCAACGGGACTTACAGGGCGCAGGGTTGAGTAGGTACAATACGATTAACGGGAGGTACTTTCAGTCTGGGTTTCCTTTCCTCGTCTATCCGCAACTGCGGAACTTTGCTGGCCTTGTCCACCCAGTAAACCTTGTGGAACATCTCGGTGATCTGTTTCTCGATAATGCCCAAGTAGAGCATGACGTTGCTCATAGTCACATGAGTATTGTCGCCCAATAACTCTAAAATCGGCGAATTGTCGCATCGTATCGCCTTGAAGAGGCCATCGATCCCCCGTAGCAGCTTATCCATCACGTCGTTGCACTGAAATAAAGTATGAGTAATCCTTTGTTATATTCGGTTGCGATTTGTTCAATCATTACACGGATATTAAAACTGTGTAGCTATAAATTTTATTGTATTAAGGACAAGGATATAACGCCCGCACAATAACGAAGTAATCCTTGAAAAATGTGGTGTTAATTTACTAATGAAAAGTTACAGGTTTATAGCGATGATATCTCTTTTGAATTATGTATTCAAGTATTTTTTGAAGTGAAAAGAATAAGAGAATAGATCCACGCGTGCGTAAAATTTCGAATGATTAACCTGTGCGAGGTCTTCTTCAGCAGCGTTTGCCAGTGCTGTCTGTTTCTCCAGTTCTACAGTGATCTTCTCTAAAGTTTCGGTCTGCTGCTGGTCGCGATGTTCGTGCTGAGCATGTGCCTCATCGATGGCTGCTGTCAGTTGCTCCATCCTCGCCTGAAGACTCTCTAGCTCGTCATTTAACTCGTTTACGTAACTAAAGAGTGCGAAATTCTCCTCTTCTTGTTTGATGAAATGCGCTGTGAGCTTGTCAATTTCTTGCTCACCTGTATGCCCGACAGTACTTATTTATGGTTGCATTAATTCAATGCAATCGAAATATAACGATAAATCGATAGCAAAAGCTATCGGAAATAATATTTATGAATATTAAATAAGCGCTAAGTATAATATATCTAAATTTTTTATCATACTATAGATAGCAAACTAGAATAAGCAAAAAAATATTGTGAGAAAATTTGAAAATATTAGAGAAAAAAGGAATATATTCTTATATATTTAAAATGTTCAGTTATTTTAAGTAAGAAAATTTTGATACCTGTAAACTGCTTTATGGTCTGCAAAATTTGCGTTAAAGACGCTATTTTATTCTGCTTCTCCTCTCGTTTAGCCTGCTTCTCGGCTTCCTTCTTTGCATTTAAATCGACCATCTCGCGAAACTGTCCCTTCACGCCCAAAAATTCCTGCAGTTTCATCTCATTATCTAATGTTCTTCTCAGCTCGCACATTTCCGACGTGTGGTTCTTTAGGTCTCTTATATCCCTGCAAATAAAAACATTTTTGTCAGATGATGGCTCGGATGACGGCTCGATTGATCGGAATTTTCCTTTTGTAGGAAGATATATACAGGAGATTATGCAAATTCGCGCCGTGACCGAATAAATCAAGAAGACGTTACGGAATTAAATGGAAAGCGTGATTTACGGAAATTCCATGCGCCATTAGTTCCATCGTCGACTGTTGCTCCCTAAGTTTCTAGTTCGACGACAACGGATATTCGACGTCGGATATTCATCCGAAATCAAACGCGACTGAATTATTAATAAAACCATCTGAATTATAGAAGCAATGATTCGCGTCGAACGTTTCTACTTTCGCGATTTCGTTTCGCAAGTCATTTTTGATCGCACGAAGAACGTCACGGTGAATCACGATTGCTTTGCGCATGAATTGCAACATCAAAATCTTATAATGGTACAAATAGCACGATTTTATATGATCGATATCATCGAGACATGAAGAAAATCCAATACTGGAAAATCTACCTCTCGCGAAGCGCTTGAATCTTGCGGAGCTCCTCGTCTCGCTGATTAAACGTAATGGTCGCCTGCTCGATCAGGTCGTTGATGATCTGCTTGCCCACGTTCAGCTGGCCGGTCAGCTTATTCCACATCTGCGTGAACTGCGCCCGTTCCTTCAACAAGGTTTCGATATCAGCGCGCAATCTCGCATTCTCCGCTATCACCAGGTTGAACCTCTTCGTTGCCACCTCTACTCGATTCTCCAGGATGCATATCGTCTTGCTATGTCGCACCGCTATTTCTTTCGATTGTGTGTCGGTGCGCACTTTCATCTGCAGACTTGTAACTTCTTTCGAGAGCTGGAACAAGATTCGTTATAATAAGGTGAAAGTGGATCGTTTTATTTATTATTAATAACTACGATCGTGGTCATGTAATAGTTAAGCTTGTAATCTAATACTGTTGAATATTGTGTTCTATTTTTCTCAGATCTACGAATCAATGATTGTATTCAACCGGATTTTTAAATTTCATTAATTTATTCACGTTTGTTTATCTAGATCTAAGCTCAACATGGGCAATACTAGCTACCTTGTCGATTTGTTCGTCAAGCTCGTCTATCTGCTGCTTTTCAATTTCTATCAACTCAATATACTTGGCCCGTTTGGTCAGCAAACATTTCAGCTTCTTTTCCATCTCCTCATCTTTACGCGTAAATGCCTTTGATTTCGCAGTTTTGATCGCCAGTACGAATTCAGCCTTTTCGTACTCCAGACGCTCGATCATGTTCTGCTGATTGCGGAGTTGTAGTCTCGCATCTTCTGCACACGTAGCTCGATCGTTCTCCATTATTCTATATTGCCTCTTTAGCCTCGAGAGCTCGGCTTCCGCCATCGTCTCCAGCTCCAGTTCGTCCTGAGCCGCTGGTTGTTGTCTGTACGTCATTTTAGAGTTTTTCCTCTTTGGGAGCGACTACGAATTTCCTTGACGATTCTAAAATTTGAATAATTATTATCAAATTTTTTAAGAAAATTTCCTTGCCTCCTGAAGGTTATTCCACTTTTATCTACTTTTTTATGATAGATTCATAGGAGATAGTTTAAGAGGGATTTAGACGTCGATGTCTTCTTCGCGATCGGCGCCGTCGATCACGAAGATCCATGCAGAGTCGGCTTGCACTCCAGTCACGATCTTCCCAATGACATTGGGCGTTGACATTTGAGAAAGACATCTGCCACCCCGCGTATCCGAGCACATCCGAAGCAGCTGTACGGCATAATGTGGCTGCTTCTGTTGGTACTTCCGGTTGCCAAGCGATAGGCTCAGCGACGTAACGTTTGCGGAACGCTTTGGGTGCTCGCGGAATTTAATTTCTGTCTCAGGTCAAGTTGTGAATTTTCTACATCTGCTAATATTTTTGCGCGCGATATATTACATATATGTTCCGAACATTCATTTAAATTGCAGATCCTTTGCAAGCTTGGAATTAAAGTTAAAAGCCTGCGAGTTTACTTCCCGTATTCAATCTATTATTTATTATATATTAAGCAAATTCATTTGAAATTGCAAGTAACAAGGATCGTAATAAATAAATTTGATCTTATCTTGCATTATTTCAGTAAAACCTGTCGCAATTAGATCATAAATATACCGATAAATTGCTCCGCTAATCCGCGCGTATCGATCGCTGAGGTAAACAGCCGCATAATGCATTTCATTTGAAGTGGAAATAAAATCAGAGCGCAGTAGGATTATGTCCGGACGCATTTATCAGACGTTATGCAAAGATGAAAAATCCACAAAATAATTACATATCATCCTAGATCTTAAATTATTCCCGGTTTTCTTTTCTCTTCTAGTCGTAAGCATAGCGTTCTCCAGATATTTTCAAGCGAGAAATAATGAAAAATAATAAATTAACACACATCGATTATTGATCCACAGATCTATTTATTCGGTTGTTGAGAATCTCCCAAACATCATGTCTGTTGAGTGAGATCCGTGGATATTCGGTGGGATCCGGTCAGGTGGTTCGACCAGGTGGGTCAAATGGTGGGGGTACATGCTCGAGGATGCAGTCGGGGGAGACGTTAGTTCACCTCCGGAGGGGAAGGTCGCCGGGTCGATCGGTTCTGCCCGCCGCGCGGGTAACGAACGTGGTTTCTCTCTCAGGTTTCGACCATCCTTAGTCCCGCATTATCTTTCGTAACTCTATTATTTATATCGTAAGTTTGTCGCGCAAATTTCATCGATAGAATCGATCACGTTTCGTTATTCGGGGTACAACGGCGATTTCGGTGGTCACTCAGACATGCTTCGATCGATACTGAAACGGTGATTGGAGAGAGCGTGCGGTATGAATAAAGGTATAATTGTTGGCTATCACGATTGCGATAAAATTGGAGTAATACCGTGAAAATTAAGATGCTGTTTAGTGGAATTCTCGTTAAATTAAAATTACACTAAAAGGAAGAATTACGAATCAACGAAAATATAGTTACATAATATCTAGTATTGCAAGAATAGTAATTATACTTTTTTCATATCTAGAAGCTATTTAATTTTGACGGTACCACAAAAAATTAATTGATTATACATTTTCAAAACTTAATTTAATCTTATTTTGAAAATAAAAAATGTAATGTTATTAATGCAAATTCACTCGTGTTTACACAAACCGACACAAAGAGCCGAGCGAGCGAGCGAGCGGGCGGGTACGTCGAGCCGAACGAATTACTTTCAACGGCAATCTGGTGGGAGAAGTCGCGCTGGTCGTTCTCGTGGAGAGCACACGCTGTACGATTCCGTAATATTTATTTTCCACTCACGGCTAGTGACTCACTACCTGGCCGATCGCGCCACGGCGAGCAGGTAGACTTGCGCGAGTTTATGTGCGAGATCCGTGTAATCTTTCTCATCCCCGCGATCGTAAGTGCCACGCGTGTTTTAATCAGTTTACACACAACATGGAATGAGTGCAGGTGTGTGTGTCATTAGTGTTTATTTTTTCAGTTTTCTCGAGGGGAAGGAATAACGAATATCTATAACGTGTCATATATATATTTATCTCAGGATTATATAAATTGCACACTGTAAGATATTTATTACTAAAGCGAGAGAGGAATAGAAAAAATGTATTGGAATATCCAAAGTTTCTCGAATCATTTTTTTATAGTTAAAAAATTCGAAGTCAAAGAGAAATATAGTATAATGGAAACCTACTAAAGGATAATCATAAAGTGACGTCAAATGGGAAACGTGCTCGGGTTGTTATCCCGATCGTCGATCGACTTAACGATTAGCGTGGCATCGTTGCGGGCTTTAGTCGGTCTAGGATTCATCCCCTTTATTGGATCTATCCGCGGCGGCGAGGGTTGAAGACGCGTAGAAAAAAAAGAGAGAGAGAGAGAGAGAGCGACGTCAAGCGTGGCATCGTTGCGGGCTTTAGTCGGTCTAGGATTCATCCCCTTTATTGGATCTATCCGCGGCGGCGAGGGTTGAAGACGCGTAGAAAAAAAAGAGAGAGAGAGAGCGACGTCAGAATCGATAAACGTAAATTGTCGCACGTGCTCGTCCGTGACCATTGGAATCGCTTTGTTGCTATTCAAGGATAATGCGACGCAATTACTTTGTGGATTTCTATATCGTACATAGAAGGCACATGTATACGGAACTCCCACGCACGGATTGATTTGTTCGAATTAATTTTTAAGTGGCCCGCGTGTGTCAACGAAATCTATGCGTGTGATTAAATCCACCCACGTCCGCTCGGCCGACTCGATTCCAATATATTTTTTTTTTTTTCTTTTGCGAGTTGAAACTCATAATGAAGCCTAGAATCGAGTAGATTTCGCGTAGCTTATGGTGAAACTTATCCTGAAACAGAAACTTGGATACACTTGAATACGCTGCGAAATTGAGGCTTAACGTTAATAAATGCTATTATATACACTTTATTTTCACGTAAAAGACGATTTCTCTAAAATGTCAGTAAAATAAACGCCAGTCTTTTGTCGGTGACTCATTAATCGTATACATAAAACAAAAATAACACGTTACATCATATATATTTAATGAGTTATTCGTAGGAATATAGGAGCGTCTCTCTTGAAATATTAATATTCGAGATATAACATCATAGTCGGAAGTCGATAGCGCGTCGAAATAATTTATACGAGCGATGACGATGGCGATAAAAAAGAATTTTCTAATTTTTCTTGCAGAAGCGGATAAACGAGATGCACAAGAAAATCTTCAACTTGATCTCAATAGAGAAGATTCCTATTTCATTACTTCGAAATGAACAGTGCAGTGTCTAAGAATCATTGATCTTTTTCACGATTCCTCCTACGATGAAGTTAAACCGAATACGGACTTTATTCATGCGGATAAATGAAGGACCGTAAAGTATTTTAAGCGGCGCTCAAGAATCATCGATCTTCATCTCTCGAATCACAATACGGATTAAATCACGTAACCACGTAAATTCGCACCCGGATGTTTGAGGTAAATAGGTGAATGGAGCGTGTATTATTGTGTCGCAATTCACCAGACTTTTCACTCTAGTGACCTTGTTTCGAGTAACGGGGACAATTCGCGAATTAGTAAATTGCGCATCCGTAATAATAGACTTTTCGTTCGACTCGGGGAATATGTAACAGTGAATTACGATGTGCTAAGTGCAAAAAGCGCCGAAGAAGTAACAACCGACCGATCGATAACGCGGTAAGCTTCCGCGATCGATATCCTCGAATAGAAGTGCAACGGTGCGTTGCACTCGCGGAAAGTCGTCGTCATCTTCCTCGATAGCGGTGATAATGTTGCCAACAGTGATGGAGCGATCTGTTTACATCTTACATCTACACGAATACATTGAGCGCAATGTCAGGGCGGCCGTCCGCCTCCGGTAGCGGTCGAGCGCGATTGACGAAGAAGCGCGATATTCGAGTAAAAAATTCAACGGAAAAATCGCCAACGATCTATTGTGATTCGTGTAAGTTTAAAGGTGAGTGCGTTATGCGTTATTCATGAGGGTCTTCGAACGCGTGTTTCACGCGGTTGCGAGACTTCAACGGTTTGATAGCTTTTGGATCGCATGCGGTCCAGGTAGACTGTAAAAAAGTCTTTTCGGATATCAGGCCGCTAGTACTCACGGTTTTTTTCAATATTGGAATGGATCCCAAAAGAAAAGAAATACTGATTTAATACACCTAATACTTATTTTTGGCGAGCATTATTAATACATATTAATATTTTATTTTTGTTAAAATAATTAAAATAAAAAAAAAGAGAACAGGATCCTACATTGATAAACATTTCACAACTAAAAAATGTTGGATACGTTTCATTGTAAATTTTTTTACTTGGAATATAAAAAATATTATAAATCCTGCGGATAGAAAAATACTTATGAGCACACAAGTGATAGATAAGATTTATATTTATGATTGCATAAACCCTGTCTTTTATAATGATTTGTACTCAGTCGTGGCGCACGAAGATGTTTTATTGTTTTGCGTGTGGCAAGCATGATGCATGTATGTATTTTATTTCTGTGTTTTCTTATCATTCGCGTGATAATCTGCCAATACGTGCTCGGCAGAAATTGTTTCCTCGTCCTGATAATCAAAATATCCAATGTAGACGTTTCATAAAGCTCGGTTTCTTGAGTTTCAAAGATTTTATTTGTCAAATTTTTGTATCTGAACGTTATCTTGTCAGCGTTTTATGCATCAAGAATGAAAATACAAATTTAATTGATTTCAGTTAATCAATGGCGCCCAATAGCTCGGCACTGCCCACGCACGATCGTTTGACGTCCACGAGGGAGAGTCGATTGTGACATCATCGCATTATCTTCGTATCAAATGCGTCTGACGTGTGTCAGAGTATTCATCTGAGTGTTTTATATCGATCGGAATACGCGAGTTTAATCCGCGAAACGGGGCAGAAGTGACGTTTGCCGTGCTGTGCCGTGAGTGGAACGCCGATAATTCGCGATGCTGCCCAAGAAGGACAATCAGACAGAGCCGTACGTTCTGGAAGACATGATATCGGATCTCCAAGCGAGAAGACACTCGCTGGACCACGAGGACGTTGTGCAGGATCCCACCGAGCTGCTGAAGCAACGCGAGAGAGACCTCGTCTTGGCCGCTGAACTCGGCAAAGCTTTGCTCGAGAGGAATCAGGAGCTAACGAAGCAAGCTGAGGCCTTAACTGAGGAATATTCCACCAAATTGGAAGTGAGTACAGAATATTGCATAAAAATATTTTCCTTGCTTAATTCTACGAATATTCTCATCTAATCTGATTCAGGAAAAAAGTAATATAATTTAAAAAACTGAATATAAGCAATAGAATTATTATTCACGTCTTTTAATTGTTGAATATAATTAAATAAATAGTAAAAAGATTAAATTGATTACAGAAAAACATTAAAATAGAATCACTTATTTACAAGTATCTAAAATTTACAAAATACTGCAAACAAAAAGAAAGGAAAATTGATGAAAATAATTTTGCGTTTTCACTTAAGTAATGAAATATATAAATATACGGTTGATTTATTATTTGCAAAAATAAGTACAAGATAACGCTTACATAATATTTTGCTCGTTTATGTAATTAGATAAAAAATAATTGAACACAGTCTCTCTCTGCATCGCAGCGGTTTTAACGAGGTGAATTTTGCTTTCCTCGTTTGCAACATCTTTGCGATATCATCCTTTGTAGAAGAGAATATAGCTAGGAAATAATTTTTTATGAGAAACATATAGCCAAGAGTCTGCTTTCATATGTATATAATGCAATCCATATGTTGTGCACGGTTGCATGTATGTATATATGCACCGTAGCTACGCGTTGCAACCGGTGCTCCACTTTTGCGAGCGTTAATTCTGTCTTCCCTTCGATTTTATATCTTATGTTACACTGCTGCCCGTTTTATTACAAAACGATAAACAAAGGTGAAATGACTCACTCGTGATATAAACATCGTTCGGCTCTTCGAGAGTCTACTTATCTTGATAAAAAACGTCGCGGGCCGTTTTTCGATAACTGCGCTTATTACTGCAACGCATCTTATCTGATTGATAAAATTGATAATTGCATAAGGATAAATCATTTTTTTTTCTATTGAAATTGAAATATCTCTATTTATTTAAGGTAGAGATATCTCTTCTTTTATTCTTATGTAGGATATTTCACTACGCACAATACAAAACTAAATGCATCGCTATCAGTCGGTCTCGTTGCAAGTGTCGACCATATCATTCAGTCTGTCATTGGTCGCAATGACACGTCAATTATACTATTGTAAATTACATTTATCAATTACTATTATCAAGTAACGATAGAGAAGTAAATGCAAATAGCAAACATCTGGACAAAAGTTCTTGGCGTTTTCCTCTTTAATTTTAGTTGAAAATAGAAAAGTCTCATAGCGGACAATCGTAAGACGAGAGACATTCTAACGCCAACCGGCCGGAAATTTTCACCTTCGTGTCTAACGGATACAGTCGCTTTCCAACATTACGCCGTCCGTTCTACGGAAAATTTGCTGCCAGCGATGTGTACGAGCACGCAGCGCGTTGATTACGTAAATCGATAAGGCGGAACTCGAAAATCCACTTCCATCTGTCGTTCGAGAAATAGAAGGTACACCTAATTACGGGCCCAATAAAATCCAATAAAAGAGAGAAATAAGCAATTTTTCAGAAGCTAGTGTAATAGCTAATAATCACCAAGAAATAGTCCTTTATTCTAAATAAAAAAAAAAAATAAATTTTTTAAAAAATGCGGATTGATTTCTCTATCATATTTTGTCATCTCTCTTTCTAATCTACATTTTAAATTAATTTTGCAACATTGTCGAGTGTAGAATATTTTCACCCCAAAGAGTTATACCGTAATATAATTTTTCAACTTTCTTCGTGCTGTATCAGTCATTATTAGAATAAACTAAATTTCTCTCATCGTATAATTAGCTTTATTTTACACTTCTTTTTAATTATCTTAAACATTTCATTTCCTTTTTTTCTTTATACTTTTCCGAGAGACACTACGGCATTCGTGAGCCGTCCTGAAACGGCCAAGCGAGACGGTTAGGGTTACTCGCGTCCACCTCCAACCACCAGACTACTCATTTACAATACCAAGTATTGGCATTGTATTGCGTGTGTGTTTCTTGCAATAGCAATTTTCTCCTCCGCAAGAAGCGAATCGAAAAGAAAAGAAAAAGAAAAAGAAAAAATAACGAAAGTCATCAATAGAAATGTACACGAACGTTTCTTTGTGAAATATAATGCAGAGATTAGTGCACATGACTTTAAAATTCAAACGCACTTTTATTTTTTTCTTTGCAACAATATGATGTAGTCAAAATTATAATTCATAGATATGATTGAACTTGCCCATTGGGTAAGCATCATAAATTACATCTCGATTATTTTTGACGAGCGAGAGCACGCGATGTGCTCTGTTGAATTCTTCAGAGTCTGGAACAAGAAATTTCAAATCTACGTATTTATTTATCTACCGTTCTGCTGTTTTTCTTCTTCATTATCATACTTTTCTCGTAAATTTTATTAGCGCCAACATTGCAACAACTTTGCTTGTAACTATTAACATTGTTTAATTGAGCTTTCCCTTTTTTTCTATAACTCGAACTGTATTCTCGAAAGATGTAACGAAATTAATGCTAGCGTTTTATGAATAATTCAAACCGTTGCCGTAATTTAAGATTTTTCTAAGTTGGGTTCTAAGATAATAATAATAACTTCTGCGCGGTTAGCTTCGGATTTCGTACATGGACAACATGATTCCTACCAGGGCGACCAAGGAAAGCCACGAAAGCGTGGAAACAAGCCACTTAGGCAACAACCAACGGCCTCAAAGACAATACCCGGCACTACGCTCTGCCTACGTCTGCCTACCCACGTTCTCCTATCTTTCCGCGTTCTGCCTGTCGTTTTATTTTTGACCTCCGTGTAGGAGGGCTATATGTATCCTTTAAATAGAATCTGGACAATTACCCGTTATCATACAGCAAGTGCCAAGGATTTAATAATGAGAGACGCAAAAGAAATTAGAAGACATAATAACGTTTCAATCTACTTCGATAGCTAAATATAAAAAAAACACAAAGATGATGTAATTGGTATATTAATACATTAATAATAATAATTATAAATTATTATAAATAATATTAATTATTAATATAAATTATTATAGATAATATTAATACATCAATAATAATTAATATATTGATATTAATATATGTATACAAAGAGAGTGAATGAGAAAAAACAAATTCATTAATAATAATTAATACATTAATATACAAGAATAAGAATATAATATTAATATACAATGTGATTATCGGAGAAGAGAAAAAGAGAATGAGTCGGAAAAATCTTCAACATTGTCTCCGCGATGCAGTGCATTCAAGGAGATAGCAACTTTCTTCCAAATGACAGTATGTGACTTCCATTTTATTTCCGGATATAATTATTTTTCCTACAGACAGATCTCTTCAAATATTCGCATAATACATAAGCGTACAAAGCAAAGGAAATCTTAGAAATTTTGTCACTTCTCATCTTTTGAATCTCTAACATTATTACTCAGATGTCTCATTAATGCACTTACGATATTAAATCCACATTTTTTTTTTTTTTTATTCAGGCTATCGCGAATATTAGATTTAAATAATAATTTTTTTGTTTCTCTTGACAATACTTATTTCTCTCTTTTCTGTGTCCTGGCAACATGACTGTTTAAAATGCTATTCAATAATGGTGAGTAATGCCTAATTGCGTCACCGCGCGAATTTATTATGCACATGCACCTGGTTAACGTCATGTCGTTATCTATGATGCCTGCGTATACTAGTGCGTTTACACGCGTCGGGATCACCGTTTGCTGAATGCGCGCGTGCTCGCGTTGCATGCGTAAAATATTAAGCGTGAAGACGATAGTACGTTTTTTCCAGACGGAGCACTAGAGACGGGACCGTCTGATGTTTCCGGTTTTGTCTTTAATTAAAGAACTCGTCACGCTCGCATATGGAATAATCGCGGTCCCTTATACAACCGGACTGATCGAAAGCATCGCGAATCGTCAACGAAGACGATCGTTTCCTCATGCGACCGACTCTTGGTCATTCTGGCTCGTCACTCGTTATCAGTTATGTCGAACGGTAAATCACGAGCGCGTATAATTAATGTGTTCCTCACGGAATGACTAGAAACGTCAGTAGTGCGCGAATTTTCTTCCTGTAATTACTAATAAACACAAGTTGTTCCAGATTTTTAATATGTTCTTATCCTCATTATAGATGTGCGGTTGATTTAATCAGCGACTTTAATACACGCGGTGACACATTAACAATATTATAAGTTGTGATTACTATTAATTATTTATATCAATTATATTTAATTATATTAAATAAAAATTTAGTGATTAATCGTCGGATTTTCACTGAGCTGAAATCAACATTAAATTCGTTTGAAATTGTACTCTATCCAATAGAAATTTTGAGAGTCGCATATTATGCCGCTTTCCGACTTACTAATTTACGATCGCGTTAATTAATACTCGCTGACAGCTGGTGGATCGTTTGCGGTCATCATCTATCGTCGAGAAAATCTTCGAGACTCTCCTGCTCGTGGATCGAGCAATTTGTAAAGCGGACAAAAATGCGCGCTTTCGTCAAAGTTCCACTTTCATTCCGACGAGCATGCTTCTGCTCGAGACAAGGAGAAATGGGTCGCGATCGCGAGTCGTAACAAAGCCGAACCAAACCGCTGGATAATGCTCGCCGTTGTATAATTGGCCGTCTGAAAGCGGACTGTTTGGTTTAGCACAGGTAGCTCTCGGTAACGATCCGTGCCGATCGATAAAAAGCGGCTCTTGTACATGCGACTATGCACGAGCACGCAGAAGATGCGCTTCTTCGCCGAGAAAGCCGAGATTCCACGCTTCGCACCTTTGCATCATCAACCTGGGAATCTCTCGGTTCACGATAAAAATTGAGATCACCCATTAACCTCGAGATGTTCATGAGTGTGTGCTAATTAATCGTGAGATGCGTGAAACTGTCACGAGGTCGATATAGGCGTATCGCATATGTTGTATGTGAAAGAGAGCCAAGATTAGAATATTGTAATGTATTCGTAATATTTTAAAACGTTAGTTTATCGTAACGCAATTTTTGTTTCAAATACTTTATCTCAATTTTTTT